CCTTGAGGATCTGGCCACAGAGTGGGGAAAACGAGGGTACCTTCTGGTAAGAGGACTAAGCTTGACCTCTTGGCACTTACCCCAGAACCGACAGTGAATAGAGTTGGTCTTTCAAAATTTCTAACACACTTATGATTGGAAAGCTGGAAATGTGATTTTCCTGGGGCGAGAAGCGATCGAGGAATTCTAAAAGTTGTTGAAACGAAAGAAGCGTTTGTTTAGAGAGTAAAAGGACGTCAGGCTACGATCAATCCATGTTTGTACCAGACGGCGTATCGTTCAATAATCTACCGGGAGAGAAGAGAGCTTTAACTTTCGCTCCCGTTATATTACACGCTTTTTCGCTCACCGATTTCTCTGAGCGCTTTACCTCAATGTTCGATCAGTTCGGCCCATTGGCTGCGATACTTTTTCGGCTTAAACCCAATTCGCTGTGCTCTTTCTTTTTCTACGCGTGGCGGGCGACGATTGGAAATAAAATTACCCGCCGTGAACGCGAATTCAATCTTGCAACGCCATTAACGCCCTTCGAGTCTTAATTTTCCACAGCGAAAAACATCCGTTGGTCGATGATAGAACCGACGACAGTGTCAGTTTATGAGTCGGAAATTCTACGTCGACGACGTGTTGAGAGACAATCGTGTACACCCGAAATTCCACGACGCGGCTTTTAAAGCACACTCATTAAAAATTCCCACGCAAGATTACTGTCTGTGATCCGATCTTCTCGTACGAATCTCATTAAATCCCGAGACTTCTGTACGAAAAGAAAGATTAAGTTTTCGTTCCAGTAGCGCCTCCATCCGTGTATTTGCATTTTATGCAAATTCGAGAGGGGGGATTGCGGCCCCGGTATAATTGGTAGCTTCGATCGAGGCGGCAAAGCTCAAGATTTGCGACGCGTAAAGGCAATCCCGCAACGATAAATGCTTGTAAGTAGATCGGTAAACTACGACTGCCGCCGCGATGGCGATATTTAAAGTTCGTGTAAGTCGTTCTGTCGGGGCAGATAAGAGGACCGGCGACTTAAGAATTCACGATAATTAAAAGTTCGCGATAAGGGCGTACGGAAAAGATTTATCTACAGTTCCCATGCGTCAAAGATAATTGGGGATAGCCTTAAACTGTAAGCTGCTGATTAAAAACTAGAATCGTCGTCTTAAATTTCTCGAAATTAAAATTCACTGATAATTCAAAATGGGTTTCTTTAGTGTCGTCTGGCTATGATGTGTATATTCTACTGGGGGTTTCTTTTTTATTTTTTTTCTAGTTATATAACCCATGTAGGATATGTACTACTGTGTCCAAAAAATAAGGTGACATTTGTTATAAAATGAAAAATTTTTATTTATTCTTTCAAATCAATTTCATCCCCTTCAAAGTAATCCCCATTCAACATAATGCGCTTATGCCAAAGTTTTTTCCATTCCTCGAAACAGCTGAAAAAGTCCTCTTCTCGAATGGCCTTCATAGCGCGTAGCGATTCACGTTGAATCTCTTCAATAGTCTCAAACCGATGTCCCCGGAGTGGTCTTTCGAATTTACTGAATAGCCAGAAGTCGCATGGTGCTAAATCAGGCGAATACGCTGCCTGTGTAACGATATGAGTTGAATTTTTGGCCAAATGATCACGAATAATCAACGCAGTGTGAGACGACGCGTTATCGTGGTGCAAAAACCAACAGTTGCTTCGCCACAATTCCGGCCTCTTTTTGCGAATAACTTCACGCAAACGACGCATAACACTTAAATAGTATTCCTTATTAACAGTTTGGCCCGTCGGGAGGAATTCATGGTGCACCACACCACGATAATCGAAAAAAACTGTTAACATGACTTTGATTTTTGAACGACTTTGGCGCGATTTTTTCGGTCTTTCTTCACCTTTAGCACGATATTCGCTCGATTGGTCAGCTGTTTCTGGGTCGTAGGCATAGATCTAAGTCTCATCTCCCGTAATGATACGTTTCATGACTGGTTCATAGTCGGAAATCATCTCTTTACAGATGTTAATACGACAATCTTTTTCGAACAAATTCAGTGCTTTACCAATCGAGACTTGACACGTTTCAAGCTCAAAACATCTTTCAAAATGGTATTCACTGACCCTTTTGAAATGCCAACAGTGTCTGAAAGGTCTCTTATTGTCAGTCGACGATTTTGTAACACTAATTTTTTGATTTCATCGACGTGATTGATGGCCGCCCTTGGCGCTCTTTGTCTTCAACGCTTTCTCGGCCATCTTGGAACTCTTTGTACCACTTATAAATATTTTTTTTCGACATAGCCTGATCGCCGAAGACTTTTCATAGCATTTCCAAAGTATCCGCAGCAGAATATTCATTCCGCAAACAAAATTTAATGCAAACTCTTTGCTCAACAAAAATATTCATTATGAAAATCGCCGAATGCACTTTTATTCTTATGAATAAACAAGCGTATCTCAAAAACAACTGAGGATAATGACGTGAAATTTGAAATAGATGACAGTAATAGAGCTACCAAGCTACAGAAAAAAAGTTTATCAGTTTGAATAAAACCGCGAAGTTTAAATTGAAAAGTCACCTTATTTTTTGGACACAGTAGTACTTCGAAGAAATGCATCAAAATCGCTACAAAGTAACTGCAAGGAGAAAAGCGCGAAGTTTCGATAATTACGGCAAGTTATGCTGGTTCACCTTAAAATTAAATTTCTCCAGTGTTATTCGGAACGAAACGACAATGTCCCCGTTACATTATATCATCCGCAGAGCGGTGCTCTACATTACACGCGAAATAGTAAACTCGAGAGCACGTTCGCGTATACGCCGTAAAAGCTTCAGAATTATTTCAAAACAGTGTAAAGTTACGCTACTCCCTGTCACTGTGACTAAAATGATAGGACGATACATTTATTCGTTTCCCTCTTCAACGAGAGCGCTTCTTTATCATTAAAATTGAATTATATTTTGAAAAGAAATAACGAATCGAAGCTGTTGGATTAAAATTGTACAACTTTTTCGAGTAGAAAACTTTTGAACGCCTGTCGGTGGTCGAATTCTTGTTAACTTTACGAACGAGAAGAAATTTTGTTTAGATTACAATTTTCTTTATTAATATTATTCGATATTAGCTTGACACAGTATACATTATTTGTCGTTGATCGTCATGATTTTAATACAAGAATACCTGCATTTTTTTATATAATGGCAGACATTTTTCCAATTTCTGTTAATAATAACTATAATAATAAAGAATAAAGTTTAATATTTTATTTCCAACTCAACCCGAGGCTAATTCAGACATAAAATTATTTTTGCAAATATCTCGAAAACGAAGGGCGATAAAGAAGAAATCTTCATAACAGTGACCTTGACAACATATTTCAAGGTCATCGAAATTGGTGAAGAATCGCTAAAGTAAATAATTACCGTGGAAACACCCGTATTGGCGTAAATTGGACTCCAGTTTGTAAAAATACGAACCGCGAGGGCTGTTACCGATTGGGGTACGTTTCTCGATACAGCCTTGTGGCCTCGGTGCCATTTTGATTTCGTTTGCTAAACAAAATGAACATATCAACTGCTTCACTGTTCGTAAATGCCATAATTTCGAAACACTGATAAGTATAAGTTATCAGTAACACTGTAAATAGTTGCTGATGGAAATCTTAACCCTTTTCACTTCGAATTATATTCCAATTTTGTTACCAGCGGCTCCCAATGCTTTTAGGAGTTTTATTTGAAATTTACCTGTTAAAATAAGTGTTTTATTTACACTGTTGTTGTATTTTGTAATTTTCAAGTGTATGATATCCGTTTCGGCCACGAACTTATATTCGTAGTTTACACAAATCTTGCTCGTGGTCGTTGCGTATTGCACAGCCACTCTGTGCCCTTAACCTATGCCTTAACCCTCAGAAGCTGTCGCTTCTGATACGCAGCACTGAAGTCTGCGGAGACTGATTATTGAGGTGGTTTCTCTGTTGAAGTTAATCGATCGATCTGCTTCCCAATCTGATTTTTCCCATAAGGAAACCTCGGTTTCCCCTGCCAAGGTGACAACGACGAACATTGTCTACCGGAGGGAGGATTGGTCAAGCCAATCCTCATCATCGTCACCTAGGTAGAGCGGTTCCTAACAATTTGCAACATTCCCACCCACCCTGCCGTCCAGTGTCCAGGTAGACCATGCAGGAGTGAGCGAGAACGCTGCATTATTATTAACATTGGGAAATGCCCAATGACCGCGAGACCCCGGTGGTCCGCAGCTGTGTGCCAACGCGGGTTTAAGATACGTCAACCGCTATTGAGGCAAGGAAGAGCTCCAAGGATTCCAAGTCCCGTGTGGAGTTTGGAGGTTCCTTAATGGCCGTATCCTGATTTATCAAGTAAGAATGTCTGGAAGGCCTAATCCTCAAAAATAGCGGAGAAGTCACGTCCATATCATAAACCCGCTCGCTGTACCGAGTCTGAACAATATCTGTTTGGTTTGGACTTGAAGAAATGTCGAGTGGAACTTGACAAAGGAGCTCCTGAGATAAAAATTGATGTCGAGTCACACGCGACATAGGAGTGTAAAGGGTTAATCTTACAGTGACTAGCATTAGCAGCCGCGAAACATTATAAGGCAGCAGAAACATTGTAAAGCAACACAAACATTGTAATGGATTCGGAGAACTTTTATCTTCGATAACATCCTAACGAATAAGTTTAGGGCACAAGTATGTTAGTACTTATATGTAGAGAATAAGAAACTACATCGACTGGCACAGTAAAAAATGTAGGTTTCCATTTTAAAAAAAAGTGCAGTTGCATTTTTTCGATGCATCAATGCACAAAAGTGCATCAAATTAGTTGCATATTACCATTTAACTTTGACTTATAACATATTCTTCTATTTCCAATCGTTTAGGAGGTTCCAACTGTTCCAGTTGCGTGGGAAACGCTGTATAGTATGGCACTTGCGTTCTATACGAAGTTTCGAAGACAAAAATCTGAAAAGTTCTGTTCTGTTTTCAGGTCTCATACTTCTCGACGAGCCCGGAACTCTCCAACAAGCAGCGTTTCGAATATTTCTCGCGCACTATACCCAGCGACCTTCACCAAGTGAAAGCAATGGTAGACATCGTGCTAACAATGGGCTGGAACTACGTGTCCATCATATACGAAGAAAGCAATTACGGAGTAAGGGTGAGTATTCATGCGAACGGCGTCCAGAGGCGACGTTGTCATCACAACAAAACCGGCAACGCGTCTCATTACGCGTAGAACAGTGTCTCTTGACACGTTTTTGTGAATTTTTAAAACCGCTCCTTAAATGGCATTGTTATTTTTATCACTGGTAGAACACCCTTTGTCACACACCAGAAAAAATTAAAAAAAAAAACATTTGACGCCAATATCATCTACAAAAAAAACGTTTCTAGCTTACTAAATTGTAACCGTGTATCGAAAATAATTCAAAACTAATTGTTCTGAAGCTTGTAAAGCCTCGAACCTTACACCAAAGGCGCGAACCGAATAAAATCACGATAACCGTGTGAAAATCCAATTAAAAAAAGACCAAAATCACTCCCACGTTCAATATTCCACAATTACGCGGAGTTAATCGATTTTCGCGTCATCGAAATGCCCGAATATATTCGCCCGTCATTTCCTTTAACACGTTGAGCGCCACGCGTATTTGTAAGACAATCCCGTTCAGGCCACGCAATTTCGGAAAAAATTAGCAGTCCATCTTACAAGTTGTGACAAAGAAAACATTCCACCGAGCAGAATTGCAAGAAGATCCAAAAAGGAATACAAACTCCAAAGAAAATCGGGAAAAGTCTCTGAAGTTCGAAAGTACTGTACATTATGTTATGACAAAAATGTAAGAAAAGATGGTAGAGAGATGGCAAGGAGAAAGACCAAGCGTGTTGTAACATTTTGTAATACTTGTGAAGGAGAACCATTTTTATGTTTGCCATGTTACAATGAATCCCATTAATCCTGTAATGATACCAAATTAAGTAAAATTAGGTAAAATAGTGTAAATTTTATAGTTCTCATGTTACACGCTGTCAGCCACCGATGGGTGACGCGGCCTAAACGGAAAGTCTAGTGTCAGCCACCGATGGCTGACGTGGCGCTCAACGTGTTAAAAGCTACTCTGCCGTAAAAGATCGAAAACACACAAAAACATTGTGCGACAAAATAAATAACCGAAGAGTCGCCCAAAGGCATTAACCGAATATTCCAATAGGTCGTTAAATACCGCTTCGTTCGAATATCAAAGCGACCCGTATTTAAATTCCCGACGATACATTTTCGCGCATATTTATTTTGATATTTCTCGTTTAATTTCTATCGTATCGACGCGGCCCGTCGAACGACATAATCGCCCCACGTTGTAACGTAAATTGTTGGCGGACCGTGTCGCGAAATGATTACTGGATGAATATCCCTAATTATTGGCGAACGTAACGGGATGGGATTACTCGCGCGTGTTAATAGGGACGCGCCACCCGAACCGAAAACCGTCGGTATGTGGAAAAATGCGGTCTCGTTCGCGTGAAATTCGAAACGGACGATCGATCCCAGCCGAACAAGGGCCCTCGAACCTATGCATTTAGCCGCGCAATATGATCAACGGCGAAACTATTCGCTGCAGAAAATTCTCGCACCCCGACCACCGGCTTCTACAGATTTTATCGGTTCCCCCGGCGTTCATTTGTTTTTAAGTAAATACACGTTTCGCGCGGCACGCAACCGCCGACCGAAATAAAAGAATGCCGAAATCGCACGACCGACAAAATCTGTACGCTTCATCGATACGAATTGCCAACAATTTATAAAACCGCGACCCGCTAGACGGTGCAATATACGAAACGCGGAAGAAACCAACGAAATATTGGGGAAGGTTTCCGAACACGCGAATAAACGTTTATTCGCCGAGCGAAGTACGAGAAATATCCCGCGCAATCTTCCGCCGCTGTACACGGGACGTCACTTAGGGCAGATCGCTTTCACGGAAGTCCGCCACGTTCTATCAATTTCATTCTGCTACGATTATCGTAAAACCAAACGGTTACTATTGAAATAGAAGAGCGCAAAGTCGTATCGAGAATTTGGTAATGTAATAAAGAAAAATTTTTATAACTCTCCGCGCTAGATCTTTACACACTTCTGGAAGAAATTGAATAAGAAATATAAAACTGGCAAACTGAGAAGGGTAGAAAAAAATTGTTGTTGCTAATTGCAGTGAAACAATTGTAAATTGATACAGTTACTGAAAAAAGTATCCATACACCGCAATACGTTCAGTTTAAACAATAATAACTTTGATTATAGAAGGCTACTATAAAGCTATGAGAGGCACATGTGCAGTTGGGAAATTAATTCAGCTGTCAAATAGTATGAATTTGTTTATGATTTCAATAAAAATACAACAGACAAATTTCAAATGCCGAATGAAGTAAGAAAATTAGCATGAAAAAAGTATTAGTACGTGACATCTATAGACGAAATATATCAATAAAACTTAAAATCTTGGGAGAATCTCGTCTTTCTTTTATTTCTATTTCTTTTGTTTCATAGAATTTCGTCAATTCTTAGCGTGGTTTGTTAAAGAACCATAATTTTTATCATAATAAGTGTTAAAAATAAGGAAACTACAATAGAGGATAGAAAAATTGTAATTGAATTATGGAAAAATGGGAAAACACATTGCGAAATTGGTGAAATGGAAAAAACGAGTCATACTAGTGTACAATATAGAGGGTGTTCGCCCACCCCTGGGAAAAATTCTAGAGGCCAAAATAAGACGAAAATCAAGAATACCAATTTGTTTATGGAGGCTTCGTTAAAAAGTTATTAACATTCAAAGTTCCGCCCGTGGTGAATTTTTTTCTAAAAGTGGGTAGGATTTCGGGGGAAGGTCTATTCACCAAAAATTATTGTAATTGACACTTACAACCAAAAATAATTTTTCCAGAACGATTGGAAATTTTTTAATGTTGTCGAAAAATTTCACACATTCTCGAATTTTTTTCTCGAAAGTGGGTAGGATTTCGAGGGTATGTCTAATGACCAAAAATGACTGTAAATGACCCCCGCAATTGAAAATAATTTTTCCAGAACAATTTAAAATTTTTTTTTCGTCGAAAATTTTTATTTTTAATTCGAATTTTTTTCATTTTAAATCAATTTGATTGACGTCCTACGGAAATTTTGTTTAGTACTTTTTTGTAGGTATCCATGAGCTCTACTTCCATATTAAATTTCATTGAGATACATTCACTATTGTAGGAGTTATGGCCGTTTGAAAATTGAACCAGTTTTAGGGGGTTTTTTTTCACTTTTCGGAATCATGGAACAGCTTTTTCAATATTGTTAGAATTTCTACATATTCTCCACGAAAATACGCGTTGTTTGCATTTTGGAAAATTAAAATCCTCCAATCCTTTCAGGAGTTGTGATGTGTTAAACATATGCATAAAATTTCAGGGAAACATATCAATGTATGGTCAGACATTATATTTTCGGTAAGGAATTTTTTTCTCGGAACTGCGTAGGATTTCGGGGGTATGTCTATTCACCAAAAATGCTTGTAATTGACCTCTGTAACTAAATATAATTTTTTTAGTATGATTTGAAAATTTTTTTTTTCGTCAAAAAATTTAAGCACCTACCCGAATTTTTTTCTCGAAAGTGAATAGGATTTCGGAGGTATGTGTATTCACCAAAAATGATTGTAATTGACCCCCGCAACCAAAAATAATTTTTCCAGAACGATTTTAAATTTTTGAATTTAATTGTTAATAACTTTTGAACGAAGCCTCTATCAACAAATTGGTATTCTTGATTTTCGTCTTATTTTGGCCTCTAGAATCCCCCATTAAAATTTTTCCCAGATGTGGCTGAACATCCTGTATAGTTAATAAGTACAAAAGTACATGATTAATTGAAAATATGCGTCGTTCCAGAAAACCAAGCAAGTTAACCCTTTGCACTCCTATGTCGAGTGTGATTCGACATCAATTTTTATCTCAGGAGCTCCTTCGTCAAGTCCCATTCGACATTTTTTCAAGTCCAAACCAAAGAGACATCGTACACTTGAAAATTACAAAATACAACAACAGTGTAAATAAAAGAGATATTCTAATAGGTAAATTTCAAATAAAACACTTAAAAGCGTTAGGAGCTGCTGATAACAAAATTGAAATATAATTCGGAGTGCAAAGGGTTAACCGAAAGGGATGAAAGATTTATTACAAAGAAAATAAAACAAAATCCATTTGAAAGTGCACCTAAAATGGCAGCAGAATTACAAGCAAGTGGTAACAAAATTTGTCCAAAGACGATATCAAACAAGCTTAAAGAATCAGGGTATTTTGTACGAGTAGCGAGTAGAAAACCCTACGTCAATAAGGTGAATAGAGAAAAAAAGACTTAATTTCGCAAAAATTTACATAAATAAATCATCAGATTTTTGGAAAGAAGTTATTTTCTCAGACGAGAGCAAGTTTAATACTTGGGGGTTCACATGGACGAAAATTAGTATCTTTAAGGCCCAAAAATATTAGACCTACAGTCAAACATGGCGGAAGTAGCCTTATGGTATGGGGCTATATGGCCGCAAATGGCCTGGGAAACTTGAATCTCATTGATGGAATAGTAGATCAATATAAATATTTAGATATTTTAAAATCATATTTGAAAGACAGCACACGGAAATTAGGTATTTTATTACTATTTTCAGCAAGGTAACGCTCCCATCCACAAGACTCATTTAATTAGAGAATGGCTTTTATATAATACACCTCGCGTTCTGGAAACTCCTCCGCAATCACCGGACATGAATTCAATCGAGCATATATGGCGAGAATTGAAACATCGTTTGCAAAAATATAAAATTACAAATAAGAATGATTTAAAAAATGCTTTGCAAGAGGAATGGCAAAAAATGGAGGGACATGTAACAAATAATTTAATTGAATCTATGCCCAAGCGATTACTAGCAATTATTAATAATAACGGGTATCCTACAAAATATCAATTACTATAAATATGACTGATTCACAAACAAACAAAATTCTGTATGAACACTTTTTTCTCGCTGATTTTCTTACTTCATTCGGTATTTGAAATTTGTCTATTCTATTTTTATTTAATTTACGAATAAAATTCATACTATCTGAAAGCTGAGT